GCGTTCTTGCCCAATTGATGGTTAGTCACTTGCGTGAAGAACCAGGGAGGGTGTTCGTGAGTCTGCGAACATTGCTGTTGGATACATGTGCTGGATGATTTAGTGTCACGCAGACTGGTAAGATAACCGTTTGATAGGGGGCACCGCGATGATTCACGGGGCCCCTCCTTGCTGTGGGAGCCGCTCTTTGAGCACTCCCTCTTTCGTCCGTGTGAAGGACGGTCGTCTACCTCCCGTGAAGTTAATACATCACCAAAACAGTCTCACCCGATAAACAAGTGGCGTAGGCCGCAAACACCTTGTGCCAGCCGAACCTTCAATCAATCAAGAACACCGCTGAAAGAGACAGAAAAATCTGTAAGACTGAAATACTTTGTGCCAGCCAAACAAAGCTAGGGTCTGCTCTCGTCTACGGTGCTCACCTTGTTTGTGTATACACTATCGTTCAAAACTCACCAATTCGGTCTTCGCCAACACGATGAAACTGGCCAGTGTGCTGTGCGGGAAAACCGATTAGGGGTGACTCGCGGGACATCGAACGCGATCGACTGCCGTGCCAACGGTCGTGCCAGCGATGTTCGACCTTACAATACATTGTACCACGGCGTGTGGCAATCACCCAGATTGTGGTGTGCCCGACCATGAGGAATGCCAAACGGTCCCGTTGTCTGAGACATGCCTTGTATGCTATTGGTCCGCTGGTTGGCTAAAGAAAGTCGGCTTGAGAATGAAACGTTTAGTCTACCCGTCAGATCCGTCCGATCCGTGGTTCCGTCCACCCCTCTGCTTTTGCTGCTGCTGAGGACAGGTTGTTTGAGACCGCCACCACACTGGCATGTCGTCACAGCACACTCGCTGGCCAAGTCCCCACACACCAGACGCATAGGCTCCGCTTGCGGTGAGGTGGATGCCATGTTGGTTGAAAGGAAAACTACGCGGGGTGCAGCAAGCACGTTCTGGACGTTGCTTTGGGGCACTGGGTAGTCGGCCGTGTTAGGCCGAGAGAGAGAGAGAGGTTGAGAGAGAGTTGGAGAGAGAGTAGGAGAAGGAAACTTGATTGGGGAGAGACGGTGGTGGTGGTGGAGAGAGAGAGGGAAGAAGAAGAAGAAGAGGAAGAAGTGTGCAGCACGCACGCAAGCCTTCCTCATCATCGCACCGACCACGCCCAAAGGGTCCCCGTGCCTGCGCCGGTGGTACCCTTCAACACACGAAATTCCCAACACGTGTCCCCCTAGGATCCTCACGACCAGATACTGCTGCGAGTATATCTAACATCCCCCCTGCTCGCAACAGTTTCTTCCTGAAAACTTCGCTAGCACCCGATATCTCAACCAAAAGGCATCTTTCCCAGAATATATACCATAAAGACTTGACCAGAATTATATAAGAAAGAAAAACAATTCAAAGAAACATGAATGCTGCATCGCGCTTAACAAATACTTGGCGCGGGAAATGAAACAAAACGGGAAACAGAACAAAACCAAAACACAACTCATCAGAAAAACAATAAAATGTTCATGCCAAATTCATCACAAAATCACGGTGAGACTCGAAAGCATCCTTCGACAAACTCTTCGTAAGAAAGTCTGCACGCTGGTACGGCGACGGCACGTGGATGACCGAAATTTCCTTCCTCTCTACCAGTTCCCTGAGAAAATGGTGCCATACATCTATGTGCTTCGAGTTCGAGTTTGAGATGGGGTTCTGCGCTAGTTGGATCGCCCCCTGGTTGTCCTCGAAGATGGGGATGCACGGCATGCCGACCTGCGGCAACATGAAACGCCAAATCTGCCTCAAAATCAAGATCTCCTTCACTACGTCACCTAGGGCGACGTACTCTGCTTCGGTGGTCGAAAGCGTGACACACTCTGCGTTCTGGAAAACCAAGACACAGCGCCTCCTCCACACGTTACGATCCCCCCTGATACCGACCTACGGTCTGCTGCCTTGCTTGCAAAGTCCGCATCAGCGTATCCCTGCAAGCTGAATCCCTCCACCGTACCTCTCTGAAACGAAATACCAAAGTGACTCGTCCTCCTCGCATAGCCTAAAATCTCCATCGCTGCACTCGAGTGTACCAGCTTCGGAGATGCGCAATACCTAGCTACTGCCCTTACTGCATTCGCAATGTCTGGTCTAGTCTGAGTCGCCAGCCACATCAACGATCCTACCAGCTCACGAAACGGAAACTCTGTCGCCACCTCATCCGCATCAAAATCAGAAAGCTTCACACCCGAAGACATCGGAACGCTCCTACCTCCCACTGCTCCATATTCTGCTGCTAGCTCATCCGTGAAAGTCTGCTGAGAAATCGTCAACCTACCGGTCTCCTTGTTCCTCTCGTAAAAGCACCCAGAACACCATCTAAACTCTCCCAGGTTCTTCACTGGCACGGACTTGTCAAGGTCGGCGCCAAACTTGTCACATCTCTCCCTCCCTCCCATAGCAAAAATGTCATCTACATGTACTACCAAAATCAAAACAACACATTCATCCTCAATCAAACGAAACACACAAGCATCGGCCATGCACTGCTCAAAACCTAACTCTACCAAACACCTCTTCAGCATTGCATGCTACTGCCTAGATGCCTGTCTCAAGCCATGCAGACTCTTGCCTAGTTTTGCAATCATTCCAGATAGAGCTCCACATCCCTGCGGCAAACGCATGTACACGTCTTCCTCCAACTCCGAACGCACAAAAGCTTGCTCAATATCGAAATGACACAAGTCGAGGTTCAACTCGCACGCCAAAGCAGCCAACATCCCAACACACGAAACAGAACAGGTAGGCGCGTACAACTCTCCAAAGTCGATGTACTCTCTCTGCATATCACCTCTCGCTACAAGTCTCGACTTAACCTTAGCATCTGCCTTCCAATCGAATACCTACCTAGCGTTAATTGCGTTCTCCACTAATTGCTACTTCGCCGGAGTAAAAGTCCCACCTCCCAACAAGCCATAAAACTCCCTTTGCATAGAGTCGCTCCAAAGGTGCCGGTGCTCCGACGCCATGGCCTCTTTGTAGCTCTTGGGGACACGAAGGTCGCTGGCCTGGCAGTG